CCTCTCTGTGTCTACCAGATGCCAGTACCTCATTATTTTGATTGCTCTTGTAGTGTGTTAAGTTCTGAAATACTCCTACTCTGCTCTTCTTTCTCAAGATTGTTTTGGCTACTCTAAGTCTCTTGCACTTCCATATGAATTAAAAAAAATTAATGTTTATTTTTGAGAGAGAGAGAGAGATAGAGGCAGAATGAGAGCAGAGGAGGAGCAGAGAGAGGAAGACACAGAATCAGAAGCAGTCTCCAGGCTCTGAGCTGTCAGCACAGAGCCTGATACAGAGCTCGAACCCACAGACTGCGAGATCATGACCTGAGCTGATGTGGGATGCTTACCAACCGAGCCACCCAGGTACCTCTGAATTTTAAAATCAGCTTATCAATTTTAACTAAGAAGTTCTGGGGCAGGGCACTATTTTTGCTTATATATAAATTTGGAAAGAGAATTGGCATTCGGGGAGAGCCGCTTTAGTATAGTGGAAAGAAGTTCCAGAGGTATGCAGGGGAGAAAACATTAATACTTCATTCTGCATGATTGAGTCTTTGGTAATTGAGTCTTGATAAAAATTCACATTGGAACCCAAAATAAAGATGACCATATTGCACTGTTGAATTTGAGGGGACACTGAAGATACATAAATTTTCTGCATTTGGAATGTAGAATAATAATATAATAATTATTGTATAATAATTTAGAAATAGCAAAGTGTGTTCACAATTTTTCCTTATTTTTTCATCATAATTATCTTGGGATTTAGTGAAGCAGGAATTCCTTATTCACTTGTAGTCTTCAATAAGGTAATTCAGGTACAGAGAGGGTAAGAAGTGACTTGATCAGAGAGATAAGCCAGTTAAGTAGGGTAACCAACCATCACAGTTTACCTGAGACTGAGGGGCTTTTCAGAATATAGGACTTTTGTTGCTAAAACTGGGAGAGTCTCTAAAAAAAACTCATCTGAGCTGGTCACTTTACTAGTAATTAGCAGAAGCAGGAATGACTGAAGCCCTTTAACACATAGTATACACACTTTTCCTACCAGTTGAACTCATCAAGCCTGCTTGACCTTGTCTACCTCAGGAATTCTGCATAAAAACCCCTGTTCATTCAGTTCATTCATGAGCTTTTCTTGACTCATCTTATCCAAGACTTCAGCTGCCCTAAGCTTTCCAACAATCTCTTATCTTTGGTGTCTCAGCCACAATTCATCCTATTTTCTCTTTTATGGTCTAAAGGTTCTCGTTCGATTTGCCTTTCCTCTCTTTCTCAGATGGTGGGTTGTAGAAGCAGACCCAGTGCTTCCTTCTTGCTTACCATCACGCGAGTGGGGGCTTCACAAACACTGTTGCCTGACCAACAGGAAGTATGCAGACATCCAAAACACCTGATCGTCAGGGTCAGGTAAGTTGTCAGGGGTCACCATTCCTTAGAACTCAGTTATCATTTAAAGATAAACAAGAGTCACTTAGTGCCAGGACCGCAATTTGAATGTTTATTGCATTTCGATGTGGATCACGACAAGAAACACACAGCCTAGTACAAATCGATGGCCCGTCTCAGAGAGCCCACTCTGGCATCCACGGCCCCCCAGTCATGGTAGCGCCTGTAGTCCCCCGGCCTCAGCAGGTACTGCTGCCCCCGGTAGTTGGGCATCTCGTAGAGGACCCAGTAGCCCTCCAGCACGTGGGCGGAGTGGATCTCATGCAGCCGGAAGCGATCGTGGATGCAGGAGCAGTCCTCCGTGAGCTCGGACATGAGGCCCCCGTAGTCATCTCTCTCGTACAGCCTTATCCTGTGAGAGCTGGTCTGTTGTGACAATAAGCAAAAGAATAAAAATCACTTGTGTGCATCCTTGATCTCAGTAAAAGTGACTCAGTCAGCCTCCACCTTCGTGAAGCATGGTTTTCAAACCATCCTGCCGAATACGGGTCCTTTCCTGACATTGTTGGAAATTCCTAACAAGTCAGGGAGAAAATGAAAATAAAACTGACCCGACCGGTGGACTATCTTGTGGAAGAAATACACATTGAAATAAAGGTCACAAAAGTCCTTTGTAGGAAACCATCGGCCGCAACTGTTTTTAGTGAGTCTACAGAGACGATTTTAACTCTCTTTTCCATTATGGCCGCATACAACTGAGTCCTAACAAGCTTGTTTCTAAGTCACTTTTCACTCATAATTTACAACAATTTGTATTTACTCTGACGTGTCCGACATTTTACCAAGTCAGGTGAACTATCTGAGGTTCTGCTTCAAAGAAATGTCTCTCATACTTGTATGTCTTTTTGCATCTGCAAATTTCTCTAGCCTACTTTTGGTTTCACTTCTTGAATCTGCTCATCATACCACACAGTTTGGTGTGATCAGGAAGCAGAAACACATATTCAATGTGTTTAAAAAACATTAAGCAGCTCTTTGATGAGGACCGTGTCCCATGAAATCTCAATTAATGACCCTGGAGAGAAGCTAGTTGATAATGACTCCTGGGGGACAGGGAGGAAGGTGAGACCTATTGTTCTGGTTTCTAGATCCTTATGTCACAGAGACTGTGTAGAAGCCATTAGCTAATACGGCCAGGACACATCACACCCGTACTGTTCTCCCATAGTCTGTCAAGTGTTTCTATCAATAACAGCTAATGACCTAGAGAGGCTTTTAGCTTTCCTGAGCAAGGTGGTGTTTATTTAGAAATTAGGAATCAGCTAAAAGCTACCAAATTTAGCTCTAGAGGCTATGGTCGTGTGACTTCTTGTGCTCTAAAACAATCTTGTCCATATATATGTCTTGTCCTTAAGTCAGAAAAAAAAATTAAAGAGGTTACAGTGACTCATAAGCCTACTCACAATTTTTTTTTAATGCTTGAGAGTAGGCATTGCTATGCTTCCTGTGAACACTAGTCCCGAGTTGAAACAAACTGACATTTTTACAAACAGGAATGTAACGCGACGGATCAGGGACGCTTTCGCATCAGTCTGGTTGAAGCGTTGACTCACGTAAGGAATGGCCCGGCAGGAGCGGATGGAGTCGCTGAGGCCCATCCACTGCTGGTAGTCGGGGTAGTCCCCGCGCCGCAGGAAGTACTGGTGGCCTTGGTAGTTGGGGCGCTCATAGAGCATCCAGCAGCCGCTGTCCACACGGATGGAGTTGCAGCGGCTGAAATAGGGCTGCAGGTTGGGGCAGTCGCTGCTGCACTCGTAGCAGCGGCCCTGGAAGCCCCGGTCCTCGTAGAAGGTGATCTGCGGTGGAAAACAAGGGGACAGCCAGAAGTCAGCCGGGGAAGCACCCCGAGCACAGCCGGCGCTCAACAAGACACAGCATGGCCCCTCCAGTGGCTCACCTTCCCCATGCTTGTCGGCAGCGATGATCAGCGTCCAGTGTGATGGGGACGAGAGCGGCAGCCGTCTATATAGCACGAGGGCTGCTGCGTTGGCAAGAACAACACAAAAGGGGCCTGGGGGTGGTGCGTGAGGGGATTTCTATGTTCTCTCTCTTTTTTTTCATTTGGGATCATGGGGCAAGGGGCTCTCATTCTCTCTGGCATTTTCGAGTGCTCCTCACTAGCTCCAGTGAAAGGAATTGAAGTCAGCAGAGCCATTATGACCTTGGAGACAAAGGGCGCACTTCTCATCCTATGCAGCTCTCTAGAAATACATTACATGCCCAGCATTTTGTGGCGTTTGCCTATGGAAACTGCTGAGATGAGGTTGGTGGTTCCATCCGGGGTGACTCGTGACAATCCTATGAGTTCCAGAAAGACTTGAAGTGCTAAGGATGACCAGAAAAATCCTCTAATTGAAAGACAATTACATTTTCTAAACTACCTCATCAGTATGATATGGTTTTCATAAAAGCATTTTGCATATGTTTATGTAGGGGGGAAAAAAAGATTAGAAGAGTGAATGTATACACCAAGATGTCAGCCATGGTTATCAAGAGATGGCAAAGTGATAGGTCCTAGTTTTATGTTTTTATTTCTCCTTTTTGTTGTTTTTGATTGCCTTAATTTTTTTTCCCCATAAGTATATACTACTTTCATGGGATGAAAAAGAAACTCAATTTGTAAATGTATAACTTTGAGTTGCTGATGAAAAGCAGCAAAATTTGAAAATGAGTATATTTTGTTTTGAACACTTCTCCTTGGGCTAAAAATAAAGAGACTTCCCGAGAGCCTGTGAGACACTCTGAGAGCCAGGAAACATACAAGGGTTCTTCCATTCCCTCTCCCACCGACAGACTTCTAAGGTTGCTTTTTGTTTTCAAAACCAGCATCATGGTTTGCCTGATTTTTCCTTCCCTGAAGTGTCACTGCTTCACAGAACCCAAGTGACTGCCCAAAGAGCTTTCTCCACCACTGCCAACCTATTGACTTGTCTTTGTCATCTGTGGGTATATAGAAAGCTGGTGGTTTGTGATTCATGGAGGGCTCTGAAAGGCTAGCCAGCCACAGCTAACAGTAAGTGTCCACAATGCCACTTGGACAAGTCCCTGGGTAGCATGTGAAGCAGATGAGTATATGGCCAAAGGAGAGACAGCAATAGCCACAGAGGAAAAAAATGTTCCCCTACAACTAGCAGGTTAGACAAAGGAAAACCCAGGAAAGTCCTGGGAAACTAGACAGTGGAGCCAGAGACACAGGTCACTGGTATAGCTTCTGTCTCCCACCCAGCGCTGTAAGCCTCCTGGTAAACCTCAGTTACGGCTATAACTGAACCCGTGTGGAAAAGGCAACGTCAGTCTCCCCGGCGACACCACCACATCGGGACATACCACCATTTTCAGCAAAAGTCAATAAACCAAACACCTGTTTTTGCAGAAAGGTGGCAGATCCAAACCTCAGAAGAGGTGAAGTCTATACTCAGATTCATTTGGTCAATTGTTGCTACACGTATTTACAAGCTAAACCTGTGCTTAATCAGCATTTTGGAAACTGCTGGAAGACTAGAGCATTTTCTTTTCCTAGTAATCATTATATTTATTGAAAGAAAGCCTGCACTCATTTTTCCTTTAATGCTTTATTGAAATGATTTTAAATGTCTCCATCGGAGAACATAGTAAGGGCAGTGAATGACAGATTAATTTGGTTTTGGATCGAAACTTTGGGCACTGCCTCCTACCCCACACTCTGCAATACTCAGTGTTAAGCACTAGTGCAATTGCCGCAAAGCAGTCTGCTCTGGCATAGAAATGTTACATATTCTCAAAATTCTCTGACCAGTAGTCTTCCAGTGACAATGAAGTAGCGTAAGATATACACTTTTTTTTTTTTAAACCATACTACAGCCACACAATAGGGTTCTAAGAGAAGAAAGCCCAACACCCAAAGGAACACTTCAACACACTTTGCACCAAAAGCTGACCGTAAAGAAAAATGTTCTGGCAAGAGTTGCAATGTTAAGGTGATGTTTCTTTTCCTCTCCTGGAGACTTTTTTATAAACTCCCATAGTGCAATTCCATGTTTCTAAGTGACCTGCAGAGTAAAAAAAATGATTTTGGTATCAAGCACATCGGTTTCACATGTACACAGACATTAGCTTCCAGTCTATAAGGAGTTAAGGTCAAATATCAAAAATACGTTACTGACAAAGATGGATTAAAATACATGTAGGTACCAAAGAATTTCCATGGAATTATTCTGACAGGTTTAGAAATTGAGTTATATTTCTCAACTAAACACAGTATATGATCCCACACTGAATCTTGTACAGAAAGGGAAAATGTTTAGAAAAGGACATTACTGGGGTGCCTGGGTGGTTCAATCATTTGAGTTTCGACTTCGGCTCACGTTGTGATCTCACAAGTCATGAGTTCAAGCCCCATGAACTGTGCTGACAGCACAAAATAAATAAACATTTAAAAAAATTGCTTTTAAAGAAAAGGAGGGGCGCCTGGGCGGCTCAGTTGGTTAAGCGTCCGACTTTGGCTCAGGTCATGATCTCACAGTTCGTGAGTTTGAGTCCCGCATTAGGCTCTGTGCTGTCAACTCAGACTTTGGAGCCTGCTTCGGATTCTGTGTCTCCCTCTGTCTCTGCCCCTTCTGTGCTCTGTATCTTTCTGTCTCTCAAAAATAAATAAACGTTAAAAAATAATAAAAAATAATAATAAAAGAAAAAAGAAACAGACATTATTGGGTCAATTGACAAAATTGATATATAGATGGTAGATCAGATAAAAGTATCAAATTTAGAGGCATCTGGGTGGTTCAATCTGTTAAGCATCGGACTCTTGATTTCGGCTGAGGTCATGATATCATGGTTGATGAGATCGACCCCCTCGTTGGACTCTGCACTGACAGCATAGAGCCTGCTTGGGATTTTCTCTCCCCCTCTTTCTGTCCCTCCCCCACTTGTGTACATGCACAAATATGCTCTCTTTCTCTCCCTCTCTTTCAAAATAAATAAACTTTAAAAAATTATGCATCTATATACCAAGAGAAAGAGAGACAAAGAGAGAGACACAGAGGAAGAGAGTTAGAGCAACAGAGGCAGATAAAATGGTAATGCTAATGGAGCAAAATGCTAATAATTGGTAAATCTGAGTAAAATGTGTATGTGAGGGTTCTCTGTACCATTCTTGTGACCTTCCTCTAAGCTCAAAATTATTCCCAAAGAGAAACATAAACAATAAAAGTTAGACTTCTTTTGACTAACCATAACTAAAGCAAATCTTTTTTGCCCCTGAGCAGTTGTGTGTTCTTATACTATATTGTTATGAATTTTTAATACATTTCTTTGAATTGAAACTCGAATCGCCCTCTCTCCTTTCTGATGAGGGGATGCTGAAGTCTCCAGCTACGGTAGTGAAGTCCGCGGTGTCTCCTTGCAGCTCTATCTGTTTTTACCTCCTGCAGTTTGATGCTCTCTTGTTCCATGCACACGTGTTAAAGATTGCATGTCGTCTTGGAGAATTGACCCCTTTATCATTATATAACGCCTTTCTTCATCCCTGACAATTTTCCTTGCTTTGAAGTCAGCTCTGTCAGAAATTAGTACAGCTTTTCTGTACTTTTGATTAGTGCTGGCAGGATTTATTTTGTCTATCCACTTACCTTTAATCTTACCTTTAATGTATATGTATCTTTATAGTTAAAGTGGGTGTGTTGTAGACAGCATATAACTAGGTCTTGGTTTTTGATCCACTCTGACCATTTCTTCTTTTTTCTGCTTTATAATTTTGTTATGAAAATATTCATGCAGAAAACTTGAAATATTTGTACAATGAAGATACACATGCCATCCCCTCCCCCCCAGATTCTCCAGTTAACAGTTTGGATTTGCTCCTCTCTGCTTACATTGCTCATCTCTTCTTGCATGCTGTCTACTTTACCCATTAGAGCTTTTAGCATATTAATCATATTTGTTTAAAAGTCCTGGTCCGATAATGCTGACACTCCCTGCCATATCTGTTTGTAATGCTTGCTCTGTCTCTTTAAATTATGCTTTATGCATCTTAATATACCTGAAATTCTTTCTTGATAGTTAGATATGATGTCCTGGGCAAAAGGAACTCCCTGAATATGCCTTTAGTATGTGTTGGTGGGGGGTGGGGGGTGGGAGGGAATAGTACAATAGTCCTATGGTTCCAACACAGTCTTTGGTGAGCCTGTGTCTTCGGACTGTGAACCTCACAAGTGTTTCTCAGTTTTTCTTCTCTTCCAGCTGGGACAAGACGAGCACAGCTAACTGGAGTTGGTATTTCCCTTTCTCTAGGTCAGTTGGGCTCTGATAAAACCCCAGAAGGTGAAGCTCTAGTTAATCAGTTTCCACCCAGGGCAGCCCACGTTAAGAACAGCGTGCTCTGTTGTATTTAAGCATGATTCCTTTTCTCACCCTGCTGCTGGAAGCATGAAAGGAATTTTCTCCAATACCAGGAGAACCTGGCAGAGCTCCTGGGGGTAAATTTCACAATACTGCGGGTGTCCTGCTATGACTGGTCCCCTGGAGGTCTTAACCATCTGCGCTGTCTGCACTGAGGCTCCTGTAATTTGTCAATTGCAGCTGAGGTTTTCACACTCCAGTACTGTATCCCTGGCAGCTTCCACTCGTGACTCTTTGATCTCATAAACCATAACTTCCTAGATTCGCCTGTCTGTCTCTCCAGTCTTCGGGGGCAGAGGTTTGCCTTTTGACCTCCCCTGTCTTACAGATCCAAGAGGAGTTCCTTTCTCAGCGTGTTCAGCTTTTTACTTGTTAGGATGAGTGGCAGTTTCTAAACTGCGTGGAACCAGAAACCGGAAGCCCTGAAGTTGTCCTCTCTCTGTATCTTGTTCCTGTCCGTGATCTTGTGATTTTCTCAGGAGTGATAGTAACAGAAGTGCTGTTATGGCTAGTGAGGTCCTGGCACTTTGCTAAGCCTTTCCACATACGTTAGCTCATGCAGACTTGCAACAACCTTATGAGACAGGTGCCATTATAATCCTCTCTTTATAAATGAGAAAATGAAGCACAGAGAGATTCACTTAACAATTCACCCCAGTTATTAATTGGGAGAACCAAGAGTCAACTCTGAGCTGTGTGACTCCAGAGTTGATACTCTTAATCACCACAGCATGCTGTTTTCTAGCTCTTTCATAGGTCCCGTCCATTCCGAATCCATTTCCTGGTCATGTGCACAATGTCCACACTTTCCTAGGATATGGTGTTGCTCATATCCATTTTGCCTAAGAAATGAGGGGCGCCTGGGTGGCTCAGTTGGTTAAACATCCCACTCTTGATTTTGGGTCAGGTCATGATCTCACAATTTGTGAGTTTGAGCCCCGCATTGGGCTCTGCACTGACAGTGTGAAGCCTGCTGGGGATTCTCTGTCTCCCTCTCTCTCTGCCCTTTGCCCACACTCTCTCTCTCAAATATAAATAAATAAACATTAAAAAAATTAAGAGATGAATTACTAATGCCAATATAATGTAAAAGAAATCTTTAAAACTGTTTCCCAAAATACCTGGATTGTTTTTTTTTTTTAAATATTCTCTTTTTCCCTTACTTCATGAAGCAATTCTGTGGCTAGAAATAAATAGAAAGTTCTGAATGAGGCATTGTTTTATCTTGAGGTTGAAAATTTTGCCAGTTAAAAGACATGATACAATATCCATAAAGCATATGGAGAAGGAAAAGACTAAGAAGCTCAAATATATAAAATGAAAAACTTCTTCCAGCAATAAACTGTGAAAGCATATTTTCCATACATTTAATAAAAATATTGCTTTCATTAATTTCCTTGTTATTTCTAACAATACTGCATATTCTAAATATACATACATGTACAACAAATATTTTAATGTCACAAGAAATGTTAACAGTGGTTATTTTCGAGAAGTAGGACAGGAGTATGGGGAAGGCAGAATTCTTTGAATTTTCAGTTTATATTTACTGTATTGTTTGAAATTTTTACTATAAGCATGTATTACTATTATAATCTTTAAGCTGATCTAAAAAGTACATTACCAGGAGTTGGGAAAGATGCCTAAAGTACACAGACATTAAAGACTGAACAAAAATCATGAATGTGTTTTCTGCTGTTTGATTATCAAGGAGAAGACTTTATGGAAGGGATTCATCTCAAGACCTGGCCCTACTGCAAAATGGGCACTTATTTTTTGGATACTCCTGAGCTTACAGGCAGTAATTAGCCTACAAAGATGGCCGGTCCCTAGGAATACACCTCTTGGTCCGTGTAGACAGAGCACAGTGGATTGAGGGCACTCGGAGCAATGCAGTTTATCGCCAATTCAGTAATGAACAATAAATACTGAACGTCCACTGCTTGCAAAGCACTTTATATACATGTGGGAGGTAATGAGGAAATAAAAGATCTGGTTCCATCAAGAAGCCAACAGTCTTCAGTGGTGGTGGAAGAAAACACCCAGGAAATGAAATTATATTTTCAAAAAAACATACCAGTGAGTCATCTTGAAAACCAGATTTCGGTTCATAAGATGCATAAATGGGCCTTGGGGGTCTATGATCTCCTGTTCTAGAGATCTGTTTTTCTCATAATTAAGTTTAACATCTAGATACCGGTGTGTGTGTGAGTGTGTGCGCACACGTGCACACGTGAGTGTACATTTGTGTGTTATTTCTGGAGTTGTTACTTTTTTCCTGTTGTTTTGTTTTACGTTCCAAAACTTGCTATCTCCAAACTCATATTAAAAAAAAAAGCACATGCCTCATCTTACTTCAAATAGTTCTTCAGTAACACAGATATGGTTTTAGAAAAGCTATGTCTTTAAATCTCATTATAGCAAATATCTTTAAAAGAAAACTCAATATAGTAAACATTTCCCAATAGTGGGTTGTTACGTTACTGGAATAACACTTCACTAAAACCCTGATGTGACCAAAGAATTCCGGCAGCTCCTAAAGTAATTGTTATGATAGGGATACATTTCTTACCAGCCAATAGTTTGCCTCTAAAACCTGAATAAGTGGCTCCTGGGTGGCTCAGCCAGTTGAGCATCTGACTTCGGCTCAGGTCATGATCTCACGGTTCGTGGATTCGAGCCCTGCGTCAGGCTCTGTGCTGACAGCTCAGAGCCTGGAGCCTGTCTTCAGGTTCTGTGTCTCCCTCTTTCTCTGACCCTCCCCTGCTCACGTGCTCTCTCTCTCTCTCTCTCTCCCAAAAATAAATAAAACATTTAAAAAAATTTTTTAAAAAACCTGAATAAATCCTGAGCCCTGTGCGGTCCAGTCTATTCAGAGATTCACATTAAAAAATGCACAGTACAGCAACCCAACTAGATAAAAAGAAATTTTTATTTATTAAAGTAATTTTTAAAGTTTCTTTATTTGTTTTTGAGAGAGAGACAGCATGAGCATGGGAGAGCAGAGAGAAAGGGAGAGAGAGAGAGAATCCGAAGCAGGCTCTGCACTGTCAGTGCAGAGTCCGACCTGGGGCTTGAACTCATGAAACCATGAGATCATGACCTGAGCTGAAACTAAGAGTCAGACGCTTAAGGGACTGGGTCACCCAGGTGCCCCATAAAAATAAATTTTAATTTTCACTTGTGTTTCTTAAAGCAATCCTAGTTCAAAACCCAGTGCACCAAGTTTCAAAATTCCCTTTCCTAGCTGACGGCCCTGAGCTGACCCCCAATCTCTCCTTCCACAAAGCCCTAAAATGTCCCAGACGCCCAGCTGCCCCATTTATCTGACTCTCCCCCTCTCGGCTTTTATTATGTTGACCAATTGGGCCTCCTGACTGCTTTTTTAATTTCCTTTTCCTTTTGCCTGGTACAGTAAAGAGTCCCGGGCGGGAAGGGCAAAGAACTCTCCTGCCTTTCTCCTTCTCCAGCCCAGCGGAGAAGGGATAAATGTCCTCTGAATTCTGCGGGATAAACGTTCCAGGATTCAGATGGTCAGGGCAGAAGCAGCAGAGATGCAAAGCAGGCAAAGGTACTATTTCGTTAATGAGAAAGGGACCAAGAAGAGTAACATTTAGGACACAAGCATTCATATAAATCTCCTCAGCACTGAATCAAAGAAGAACAGCTGATTAATTTGTGAATAGCATTTCTTAAATGCCAAAAAAGAATAATGATTAGTATTTATTTGGGGTTTACTTTTGCACCAAGTGCTAATCTAATCTCTTAAAATGCATAATCCCAGGTATTTATCCCAAAAACCTAGACCGTAGGTAGCCTTAATTTCCCCTATTTTGTAGAGGAGGAAATGAAGGCACAGAGAGGTTAAGTAGCTTGCCTGAAGTCACAAAGCTTCACACAGTAAGGAGTAGCTTTAGATTGAGACCCACAGCATTTGACTCCAAAGGCTAGACTTTTAACCACAATGTAAGTAAAGTACTCCCCAAGCACTCTGTATCAGTTTGGTCCAATTTGCATGTTTAGACCTACTTTGTTCTTTGACAGGATGTCCAAAGATGCCTTTTTTGGTGATTTCCATGCTGTGACTGTTACTTCCTTTGCAGAGCTGCTGGTGGCATTTTTGTTTGTGGCTCCCCTTTTAAACTTGACACCTAGAGACACATGCAGTAACCATACCAGTATAAGAAACTAAAAAAAAAAAAAAACTACAAAAAAATGACTCCACACACAGTTTTAGATCCTTCCCTTCTAGAGTGCTTTGCTCCCAGGGGCACTTGGGTGTTTCAGTCAGTTAAGCGTCTGGCTCAAGTCATGATCTTGTGGTTCATGAGTTCGACCCTGCATCGGGCTCTGTGCTGACAGTTTGGAGCCTGGAGACTGCTTTGGATTCTGTGACTCCCTCGCTCTGCCCCTCCCCTGCTCTCTCTCTCTCTCAAAAATGATTAAACACATTTAAAAATTTCTTTAAAAAATTAGAGTGCTTTGTTCCCAATGCTAAAGGGTCTGAGAAATAAGACTTCGCTGATTTTTATAATGAAGACAAATTAAGTCATGAATGGTTCTAGTTAGTTTTTTCTTTGTTCAACTGGACAGAGAAATCTTACTGCTATAACAACTTTGGCCTTACTTTGTATGTTTACCTCCTAGTTTTACTTAAATTGCTCAAGCAGGTGGAAATAAGTAGGCTTACCCTGTTTGCGGGCGTATTCTGCTGCTTTGGGCGCTGTTAACATGGCAAAGGGGTGCAAGGAGAGGCGGAAAGCTGGGACTCGGGGAACCTAAAAGGGAAACAGGCCTATTTTTAGTTTTCAAATTAAAGAAATTTAAAAAAATTTAATGTTTATTCATTAGAGAGAGAGAGCACAAACAGGTGAGGGGCAGAGAGAGAGAAAGGGAGATATAGAATGTGAAGCAGTCTCCTGGCTCCGAGCTGTCAGTGCAGAGCCCGACAGTGGGCTCAAACCCATGAGTCCCGAGATCACGACCTGAGCCTAAGTTAGACGCATAACTGACTGAGCCACCTAGATGCTCCTTAAAAAATGTTTTTTAATGTTTATTTATTTTTGAGAGAGAAAGAGACAGAGTGCCAGCTGGTGAGGGGCAGAGAGACATACACAGAATCTGAGACGCAGGCTCTGAGCTGTCAGCACAGAGCCCAAAGTGGGGCTTGAACCCACAAACCGTGAGATCATGGCCTGAGCCGATGTCCAGCACTTAAGCAGCTGAGCCACCCAGGCTCCCAAATAGTCCTATTTAAAAACACACTTAGCGCTGTTACCACTGCGAGTTATAGCACTTGGTCTGCTGAAGCAGCCGTGTGCCCCTTACACAGCACGGATGTCCGCTGGTGGCACTCATGCATCGCATGGCATGCGGCTTCACATGCTGCCTTTTTTCTCTCACTTGGTCCCTTTGCTCAGAATGTCGTTCACACGCTGAGGCTCCTCGCGTTGCTGCCTTCTACCTGGGATAAGCAGTTCCTCCTTTTCTGCCTACAGGCTCCGACTTTTCCATTGAGATAGAGCTCAAGTATCACCTTTTCTGAGAAACTTGCCCAGATGTCTCCCCATCTCCCCTCTCCTATGCTGGCACCCCACACCGCCCTTACCCCGAGGCAGAATCACTGACTCACTCATCTGCGAACTCAAAACATACACTCACGTAGAAGATCCGCAGTGTGTTCTGTATATTTGTAGTTAGTTATAACCCACTGTCTGCTGTGCTACGCGGGGAGCTTCTTCAAGGTTAGGACTGTCTCCTCATGCATTCATTCCTTCAACAAGTTTTCACTGAGCACCTACTACGGGCCAGGCCCTCTTTTAGGAGCTGTTGTTACTATGACAGACCAGGTTCCCGCCCTTCTGGAGCTGAGCGAGGAATCACAAACAATAAATGATTAGACAACCAATGTAATCATACCTTGTGGTGAGTTTAATAAATGAAACAGGATGATGTACTAGCAAGTGACTGGACAGCCACCACTTCAGAGTGGCCAGAGAAAGCCTCTAGAAGGAAGCAGTGTTTCAGCTGAGATTTCTAGAATGAGCGGCTGAGGGCCACAGGACGAGCTGGAGAGGAGTACTCCGGGCAAAGGGAAAGAGAAGGTCCGCTTGGAATAACCTATGTTTCCAGACACAGAAAGGAAGCCAGTGGGGCTAGAGCATAGCGAGGAAGGGGACATTGTAGATGGGGGTGAAGAGGGAGGCAGGAGCCGGATGCCCTGGGTCCTTGTTGGCCATGGTGTGGAGCTTATGTTATCCATTCCAGGAATCAATGGAAGCCACTGACATATTTTTAAGCAGTCGTGTGACAAGGTCTGGTTTAGCTCTGCTGCTGCGTGGAGAAGGGGTCGGAGTGTGGGAGCAGGGAGCCCAGTTAGCTCATTTAACCTCTTCTCTCTGGTGCCTCAGAGAGGAGGCCCTCAATTGTCATTGACTGGTTGAATGACGACCATTCCAGTCAAGCAGTAGTGGTTAACAGCGCACACTTTAGTGTCAAACTGGCTGCCTGTGAAGGCTGCTGCACCATCTACAAGCTATGTGACCTTGGCCATGATACCTAACCCCTCCGTGCCTGTTTCTTCACATGGTAATAGTAATACCGGCAATGACCTTGCAGGGTTGTGGTAGTGATCCAAAAGTTAGCATATGTAAAGGACTTAAAATAGTGCTTGGCACCTAGTACAATATATTGGCTTTCAAATTAACGGTAACAATAATTATTATTTATGTTTGTTATCGCCATGGTAGTCATCATCTTCCTCCCTGACTCATCTCTCTCTATTGTATTGAATTACCCAGGGCAACAACTTGGCCACCATTTCCCTGATAGGACCCTGCCTGGAAATAACAAATCAAATAACTAATAACAAATAACTAATCAGAGCCAGCACACCTGAAGTAATTCATATCCCTCGGCAAGACCAACAATTCTCTGCTTTCTCACTGAGAGAGATTCAGACATTACATTGACAGAGTTCTTGTTTCTAAGGAGCAAGATACGATTATACAATTCTCTTTATGTATTCATTTCAACAAATATGCCATCTCATCAATAGGACACTCTTACATGATGTACAGCTGAGGCAAATACTGAAAGACAAGGATAATAAAACAAATACCCGTTTTTAGATTTCCAAGTCGGTGGAAAATTTCTACCCTATCATCCAAACTCTTAATGATCAAGTTCTCACATCACTGGTATTCCTTTGAAGTAAGTAGAAATCTTCATTTCCACCGAATTTGAGTTTAAGCTAATTGTGTGGTTTGTACATAGGTGGGATTTGAGGGGGGTATTTTTTATTTATTTTATTTTATTTTTATTTTGAGGGAGAGAAGAGGAGACAGAGTGCACATGCATGAGGGACAGAGAGAGGGAGAGAGAATTCCAAGCAGGTTCTGCACTGTCAGCAAGGAGCCAGATGGAGGGTTCAAACTCATGACTGTGAAATCATGACCTGAACCAAAATCAAGAGTTGGACGCTTAACAGACTGGGGTGCCCAGGCACCCTGGAGGGTGTAGTTTCTGTAAAGAAAGGTACTGTATTTATATATTATTTTGCAATTTCCAACAAGCATAACTGAGCAGAAACCAGGAGGAGCCTGTGTTCCTGACAACCCTGTGGCTCTGTGGTGCCGGCCTGATCTGCCCACCTCCACACTCCTGCACATGAGAAACTGACTTCTGGTTTTCACCATTACTATAGGGTTTTGGTTATTATCATACAGAAAAGATGGACAAAACAATAAATGAGGTTCTGTTCTCTTTGTTGACAGAACAGTTTATAGCCACCTAAGCAGGAGCCCTTCTAAATTTGACCTCAGCTTTCGCAGGGCCTGGTTGACTCAGTCGGTTAAGCTTCTGATTCTTGATTTTGGCTCAGGTCATGATCTCATGGTTGTGAGATCGAGCCCCAAGTCCGGCTCTGAGCTGACAGTGTGGGCCCTGCTTGGGATTCTCTCTCCTCTTCTCTCTCTGCCCCTCTCCCACTCGCATGCACTGTCTCTTGTTCCCTCTCAATAAACAAACAAACGAACAAACAAATACTTTTACTGCACACAAATAGACGTATCACAGAAACCATCCAAATGGCTAAACTGGAAGACTATATAAATAAACCGTGGCACACGTCTATAGTGGAATACTATATGCAGTGAAAACAACTATGTGTAACAGCAGGGATGAATTTGTGCAACATAGTGTTGAATGAAGAAAGGAAGAAAGCATTTGCTTCATTTATGAAGACTGCTTTTTATATTACTTATATCAAATTCAAAGAACTTGCAAAAGTAAACAATATATCGATTAGACATGTATATGTGGTAAAACCAGAAAGAAAGAAAAGAATATGATAAACTCACAATTCAAGATAGTGGAAACCTGGAGCAACAGGAAGGAGAGGGGCTGGAGAGGATGCGGGGAGAGCTCCAAACTGTTCAATTTCATCCACTTGGTGGATCTGTTGTTTTTGGCCTTTATACTTTCAACATTTATAGGAAGAATTCATTCGGACATCATGGATATTGAAAGCATGATTTTCAATCTCCCATCATCAAGATCTGCCAATATTGAACTTTTGTATAAATCCAGTAGGTCCCTCTCTTTATCATGAAAACGTACTCGTGTTTGCATAATTCAGGCTGGGTCAGCATCCTTCAAGAAGTGAAGACACTTGGCGGATTATTGTGGTGAATGCCTGGAGGTCGGGACTGCAAAAGGGTCTGAGGGTGGAAGATCTGTTGCAGAGAGACCAGGCTGCTGTTAATGGACTCCTGGGGACAGGGAGGAAGGAGGCCGGTCATCCTGAGGGGGTGGAAGGCCCCCCATACTGTGCCAGCATCATGCACCTGATATGAATGCTCAGAATGACCTAGCGGGGTTGGGTAAGTGTAATCATACGTATTTACCATAGGGAAATTGGGAATCAGAGAAGTTAACACCTTTTTCAAGGCCAGCAAGCTGGTAAGTGGCAGAGCTGGGACTGGACACCAGTCTATCTCTGAAGAGCAGGCTTTGAACTTTCGATGCCGGTAAGTGATGGCGGGTCAGACTCTGGGGTGTGGCTACAGGAAGACAAAGGAAAGTAGAGGTTCCGATGTTCCCTACCACCTCTCCTGGTCTTTCTCCTCTCTCAGTTGCACTGATTTTTACTCTCTCTGCCTCTTTTTCCTTTTTTCCTCTTTCTCTGAGAAATGGAACTGAGGAGTATTTTTATTGCTGGCTTGCTTTGTTGAAGGCAGATTTATGCTCCTTTTTCTTTAGTTTAAAACTGAGTTGGCTATTTTATATTTATCTAAATCTAATTGTAAGTAACTGTCATTTGTGTGAGACCTTTACTTGATTTTGTTTTTTATAGGTCCAAGGCCCTCAGCAGAAGAATGGCTCCCTGTCATTAAATAACAGCTCCTTATCAAGACTAGGACCTGAGGGTAATACAACAGAACAATACTGAGCCTATCATGCCTTTCTGTCACCAGGTGGCAGCAGATACTCTTGAAGAAAACTGTCAAGCCTTTGAACAACCCACGTTATATACTGTGGCCAATTCTAGTGGCCAGGAATTTACATACTCTGAATAGTATTCAACAGGGCTTTAAACTCTTGCTTGGGGAGGATTTTAGCTGTTGTCTAGGAGATATTTTATCCAAAGGAATCAAAGTTTATTCAGATAGAGGCACCTGTGTGGCCCAGTGGGTTAATCGTCCCACTCTTGATTTTGACTCAGGTCAAGATCTCCCAGTTGTGAGATGGAGTCCAGTGTGGAGTCTGCACTGAGTGAGGAACCTGTTTATGATTTTCTCTCTCTCTCTCTCTCTCTCTCTGTCTCTCTCTCTCTGCCCCTCCCTGGCTTGCCAGTGTGCACAGGCCCTCTCTCTCTCAAAATAAATAAATAAGTATTAAAAAAACCAAACAAGTTTATTCAGATATATGCAGCAATTACATAAGAATCTGTCAATGACTTCTTTTGAACAACCCCATCTCCTAGTTAAAACAATTTTTTAAATTATGTTAAACCTTGAAGAACTGTTTTATTTTTAATGTTTTTGTTTATTTTTGAGAGAGAGGAGCAGAGTGCGAGTGGGGGAGGGGCAGAGAGAGAGAGGGAGACACAGAATTGGAAGCAGGCCCCATGCTCTGAGCTGTCAGCACAGAGCCCGACATGAGCTCCAACTCCCTAACCATGAGATCATGACCTGATCACGAACTTGAGATCATGCTTAACCAACTGAGCCACCCAGGTGCCCCTGAAAGATTGTTTTAAAATAGCTCTTCCAATTTAATCTTTGAAATGCTACATCTCCATTGAGAGGTTCTACTAATTTGTTATTTGAGATGTGTTGGGGGTCCCTGAGTTGAGCTGATATATAGTAGCCACATTAGTAAGGCCTGGGGGGAGGGGCGTTCTTGCAGTAGGGAGGAGCTTGTGAAGTCCACAGGGGTAGAAAATCCTCAGACTCTCATTGTAGCTCAGATGGTATCATACCCATTGTGATAATTTGGTGCCTAAAATAGGCAAAGTTTATATCATGTTAACAATATATATGGATGCTTGATGAGCTTTTTAATTTTTGAATATTTAGAGCAGTGGTTCTCAACTAGCTGTGATTTTGCTTCTTAAGCGACATTTGGCAAAGCCAAGAGACATTTTTGGTTATCACATTGGGGGCAAGCTATTGGCATCTAAAGGGTAGAGGCCATCGATGCTGCTAGACATCAACAATGCACAGAACGGACCACAAGTCCACCCCTGCACTCACGACAAAGAATTATCTGGTCTGAAATGTTGAGAAACCCTGATTCATAGGAACATAAAGGAAATCGGATACCCAAATCGCAAGTACCAGAACCTTAACTATAGTTACTATTTTGGGGTTACCGTGTTTCCAGCACTAAGGGCTTTACTAATTCACCTCATTTCCCATAACAATCCCATCTTCCTGTCCCAGTTTTTACGATGAAATTGAGGCTGAAGGAACCAGATGACTTGCCCAAGATCACTCTGCCCGGAGCTGGTGGAGCATGGGTTCAAACCCAGGCAGTCTAGCTTTAGAGTCCTCAGGCTTAACCCTCGCACAAGCTGCCTTTCCTATGCAAACCAGTAAATGATCGGACAGTCATATCCTGTAACAATAAATAAATGCAGGCCTTTGAAGGAAAGTCCCCTCCATGATAATATTATGTGTTTCCCTTCCGAGTTGGTCATTATGCAATCCACGTGCACATCTTGGCTTTTTATTATTGGTCATCCATTGTGAGGACAAGGATTGTGTATAACTGAACAGAGAAGGTGCTCAATAGAGTCCCTTGACTGAATACCTGAAAGACCGGATGGATAGATAGAAATTGGCCAGCCCTCCTCTAAACAGCATGACTTCCTGTTCTGGCCCTTTGAAATGAGCCTGGCTACTTGGTTAAATGGCCTGAGTTACTAAGGCACCCATGTTTTCTTAATTGATAACCCAGCCCAAACTAGAAAGGTTCACAGGGCCATCCCTTCCAGGATGTGATTTTCCATATTTGTCCTTTGGCTACATGAGTGAGAACAACCAATGAGTGCCTGATTCCTGCCCGAGCTGTCCCCAGGCACCGGAAGATGAGGAAAAACACAATGGCTAAAAGGAAAGGGTTGAGCTGAGATATTATGTGTATGTGCTGGGGATGTTGGGGAAAAGGGGAAAGAGGGCAGCCTGAAAGGGAAAACGCTGCAGAAAAAACAACAAAAAACAAAAAAAACCAGCAGGAATGAAGCATACGGTTTGCTAGGCTCTCTAAGGAACCAAAAGTGTTGGGCTTTCTTTAAAAACCAAGAAAGGCATGGGGCACCTGGGTGGCTTAGTTGGTTAAAGCGTCCGACTTTCGCTTAGGTCATGATCTCGCAGTTCGTGGGTTCGGCCCCGCGTCGGGCTCTGTGCTGACTGCCAGCTCAGAGCCTGGAGCCTGTTTCAGTCTGTGACTCCCTCTCTCTCTGACCCTCCCCTGTTCACGCTGTCTCTCTCTCTCTCTCCTAGAAATAAATAAAACATTAAAAAAAAAAAAACAAGAGAGGCTTGATCTCTGAGGAAAACTGAGGATAAAGCCTGGGGCGGCTTTGTCTCAACCTGGTAGAATGTCAGGTCCAGTACAAGATACAGAATCCATGAGAAAATAATCTTGCCTGATTCGATCACCATTATATCCCTTGCACCTACAACTCTATTGAATGAATCAATCAAGCAAGCAAGCAAGCAAGCAAGCAAGCAATGTAGTTGAAATTAAGGTGATCAGAGAAAAGGTGCTGATTTCCTCGATGATCAAGGGAACTTGAGTCTCAGAACTAGAGCCAGGTTACACAGGGATTAAGGTGATCGGACAGTTGGATTCAAAGTTACAACACTTCTTAGTAAATGCTTGATTTTTTAAAAATTTTATTGCTTGACCGTTAAACTGGACGTGATGGGCTCTTGATCTGCTGTATGGTCTGCGGCTAAAAGAACAGGGGAGGCAGACTTTTCTGTGGCCGTAGCCCTGCCCCTGCCCTGGCCTCCCTGCCAAGTCCTGGTGGGGGCATCCGAAGTGATGGTGTGAGCCGAGGGCTGGGTATGTGGGTGTGGGTTATGTCTGCTCCCTCTCTCTCACTCGCACTGCACAACCCTCATGTCCCATCGCCCTTTCTTCATCCATCTTGGGGTGTCTAAAGGCAAATGGGTAGGTAGCTCACATCCAAATAGCACTTCATATTTAATGTTTACTAAATGTCCATACATCCATAAGTAGCAAAAACTGGCTGTAAAGATCATTGAGAATTCTAAAAAAATATATTTTTTTTAGATCAGTAAATGCAAGGTCAAACAGCTATCTTTAAAATAGCAACATTTAATATTAGTAAACCTTAAGCATTTAGAAAGAGTGATTGAAAAATAAAATAAATATGAATTAATATCAAAATGCACATAATAAATATAAAATATGTAGGGGCAAGGACTGAGGGCTCTGTAGAAGAGGCATCAGAACTCAGGTCACTGGATTTCTGATAATTGCCGAGTCTACTGCTGTGACTGAAAGGACTCTCGGGGGAAGGAGAAGTGTGACGGCAGCAAACTACAGAACATCAAGAAAACGAACCTTGCAGATCTTGCACGAGTTCTGGATGTCCTGGTACATCATGCAAGGGCCCTTGGGCTTGCCAAACGCCCCTTACAACGTGTGTAAATGAGAGATTCTGTTCACCAGAAACAGAGGCAGAATCTAGACTCAAAGCCTGGTGACCTATTTGCTGCCTCTGCTTAGCCTGATGCAAAACACATTTGTTATGAACACAGCCCTCACGTAAGGGAAGCATTTTACAAACTTTTCTGAGCCACGTAAGATATGGCCACCTCTGGTTTTGTATGTTTTGATTAAAGACTATTATCTCATGACTGATGGGTGAGGGGGGCAGGGGGGAGATGGGCATGGAGGAGGGCACTTGTGGGGATGAGCACTGGATGTTATATGGAAACCAACTTGACAATAAACTATTTGTAAAAAAAAATAAAAATAAAAAATAAAGACTTATCTCATCCAGTTGAAGTTATTAAAAATTCATTATAAATGTGTAAAATAAAGAAATCCTCTCTAAAATTTCCTCTTATTGATAGTCTCAGGTCACCCCTACCTTGGTGGCCCCAGAGTTGGTAGAAGAATCAGCTCCATACATTTTAAAGACTTCCTCAACTGGGATGCTGTTCTGTTAAAAAAAAAAAAAAAAAAAACCAGCACCAACAAATGTATTATCATGGCTTTTCTCTTAGTACAAAAGAAAGCAGCTGTAGTGCAAGTATCCAGCATCATGCCTGGATAGTGTGGGCACTAAATAAGCAACTTTTGAATAAGTGGATAAATCAGAGTCACCAGTATATGATTATTTATGTCTTTCATTCTGTTTTTTTGCCTTTTAAATAAAGGTTTTCACAATATCATATAGGCATAAAAGGCTTTTTACTCTATCTTTAAAACAGCAACATTTAATATTAGTAAACCTTAAGCATTTAGAAAGAGTGGTTGAAAAATAAAATAAATATGAATTAATATCAAAATGCACATAACAAATATAAAATATATACAAATAGTGGTCTTTTCCTTACCATTAAAATGCCAGCGTAAGATGATAAAATCATTGCTTCTCTTTCCTTCCGGTTTGGATATGTGGATCTGCCATGAAATGGCATTTTCCTAAGGGGGAATAGGAATAAATAACAATGGAAGGTTTATTTTTGTTCTTTTTGAAACCTATTAAGTTTATAATAATAATCCATAAGTAATCTTCAATGGCCATGTGCTATGCACTTATTTACAAAATTAATGTGGTGAATCTGCTATCAGTAAAGTACGCACTTTGAATTCTGAATCTTCCAACAGTGGTGATGAATTTGCCTTCATCAGTGTGTATTTTCACAGCTAGCAACCATTGGCCACTATGGTGGACACTTACGATTTTGCCAACCAGTATCCTCTTCCCCTTCTTGATGGGCAGAACTGCTTTGCCCACTGTAAGTTCATGTGCTTCTAGGGAAGCCAAGAACACCCCTAGACTTCCAAGGGTGGAAAACACTGTGGACTAAGCTAGTCAGCGTATTCCATTCCTCCCAACCCCCACCTCCAGACAAGTCAAGGGTTGAGGCACAACTGAGACACAATCCTGCGATTTTTAAAAAATCTATTCTTTGGACTGGATGTTGCAATTAAATGGGCTGAAATTAAGAATAATGTCCGCTCAGGGGGAATAGTCCAGAAGTAAATCTTGACAACACAATTTGAGTTTTGAATTAAGCCATGCCTAACACAGCTCGACTTAGGGACTTTCCAAGTATGGAGTTAATACATTCCTACTTCCCTCATTTTTTGGGGGGTAGGGCTTAAATCTGGATTTTCTGCTTATTACAACTAAACCCTAATTGATATAGCCATCCAGGACAAGGTGTGTGTTCTAAGGCAATGGAACAGAAAAAATAACTGACTTCTGGAATAAGCTATTCAATCCTGTCTTCATTATTTCCTTATTTTTAACCGAGTGAGTCTGCCTAGCAAACACGGCAGCAAATACCAATAATCCTGGAAAGAATTTGCACAGCTGCATTCAAGCAGCTCAGCTCAGGAATATATTTAGCTAAATGCTTAAGAAATTGTGTTTCAGAGTCCTTAGAATAAGCCTTTACCCACAGAATTGACTGTTTTAAAAATCATGGCATGTGCACAGTAAAGTATGGTCTTTATTTCTAAGACAGAACATTATGTGGGAGAAGAATTTTCATCTGACAGAAACCAATAGGCAGAGATACACAATATGTAAACATGCATATGAGTTCCCCAAGTTGACAACTATGGGGTTTCTTCAGGTTTGTAGCTGGAAAGAGATGAATACTCACCCTGCAGTGTTTTCAATGTTTTTTTTAAATGTTCATTTTTGAGAGAGAAACGGTGCACATGTAAGCATGTGTGAGTGGGGGAGGGGCAAGTAAGAGGGGGAACAGAGGATCTGAAGCAGGCTCCCTACTGACAGCAGTGAGCCCAGTGGAGGCTCGAACCCATGAACTGTGAGATGATGACCTGAGCCAAAATTGGACCCTCAACTGCCTGAACCACCCATGCTCCCCAAATTGCAGTGTTTTCAAATCAGAGTGCCTCATGGTGGAAGATGCCAGATAGAAGCTTTCTCTACCACTACTCATAGTCATACATTTAAAGAAAAGGAGAGAAAGAAAAAGGAACTGTTTCCACTTACACTTTCTCCCACTCCAGCCAAGTGAAGTCTTCTGAGTGATCGAGCCATTGCAAAGCAACATTGATGGCCAAGTCATAGTGTGCCTGGGAGAGGGAAACAGACAGCAAAGGGTCAGGCTTAGACATTGGCCATAGCACTCCCTGGACCCAATGACAATGGAATTGCTAAGCCTATTCTACTATATTGTCACGTCCACAAAGGTGAGGATCATCAGCTATGTCCAGTAACCTGATGCTCAGACAGAAATATTTAGGGGTCTTCAGTCAGTATGTTTACCTCTTACTAAAACCATTTTTTTCTTTTTTTACTTCATGGTGACAGGAAAAGAAAAGATGGATTCTTGGAAAGAAGCTGGGAATCAGGGAATCTGGGTTCAAATCTAGGTGTTGCCAACAACTCATGGTTTATCTCTGGGTAAGCAATTGATGTTCTCAGCATCTCAGTGTCCTCAAATTTTAAAATAAAAAAAAGTGAGGGTGGGGGAAGAGGGCCTCTGAGAACCATTTTGAATTCTGTGAGCAGAACGTCAGAAATGTGCTCCCAGGGGCACCAGGAAAGAGGTGTATCCACCTGGGGTGTCAGGGAGCTCCTGGGAGGCTTCAGAGAGGAGGCCCTGCTAGAGTGGGGCTTGAAATATGAGGAGAATTTCTGCAGGTGGAGAAGGACATTGAGGGTGAAGGTGCCAGCACGAGCAAAGGACTGGAGGTAGACCCCGATGACTGGCTTGCTAAGAGTCTAGTACGCAGTGAAAAGCTGAGGGCCAGCTCATATGTTCATCCCTATCTTACTGACCATCTTTTCCTGGTAATTTCTAAGCACATTCACCTTGTGCCTATCAAAATATTCCTTCTCTCCTCTCTACCCTCACCTCCAGAAAAGGGAAGGTTGGTTTTGTTTGGGAGGTTTTAGATGGGTTCTAAGGTTCTAACCTTTTCTAAACAATATACAGTTGACCCTTGAACACCCAGGGGTTAGACCCCTGCAGCCCAAAATCCGTGTATATTCTGAATAAACTGCTATTGACTGGAAGCCTTCCCAATGGCATAAACTGTCCAGCACCACATATTTTATATGTTATATATACAATATATTGCATTCTTATAATGAAGTATGCTAGAGAAAAGGTGACTAAGAAAATCATAAGAGAAAATACATTTACAGTATTATACTGTATTTATAAAAAAAATTCTGTGCATATGTGGACCCACACAGTTCAAATCTGTGTGTTCAAGGATCAACTGTACTTATTTCTTTCAGGGACTAAACAAAAACGAGAAAGTGAGGAACAAAAAGAACAGTGACCGGTGGTTGAAAAGTAATCAAAAGGTTGGTGCAGGCCCAGTGGTGGGGGTGGCCTGTTTGCTCATTACAAATACAAATTCCCAGCCCTGCCCCCCTCCCCCACTTCCGGAATCAAAAGAGCCTGGCAAAGGACCTCATTAAAGTTTGAAAGCACTTATCTGATCGATTTAATTTGTCCATTTAACATGTGCACAGAGATGTACTTTAGAACACCAGGCCTAATTGCTTATTCAGCGCTAGGGAAGTCAGGCAGGGACAGAGGGAGGGTCAGGGACAGATCTTCTCTTCCTTAATAGTGCAAACAGGTAAGCATAAAAAAGCTGAAGATTTACTAATTTCTTGTGAATTAGATCTTTACATAATTTCCGAGAAGGAACTTTCATTACAGAACATGAATCTGAACTTCGGCATGAACCATGATGAAGGATTTTGATTATTCCATTCTTTGGTTTTCTCCATGAATGCAAATGGAAAAAAAATTATATTAGAGAACTGCGTAACTCATTTTGTCAAAAAAATGTTGAACATCATGTATGTAACATTTAACTTTGCATTCATTCTACTTTTTAATCTTTTCTAGGAGAGAAATAGCAAAGAATCTCATGATTTGGAGTTTGTCGTTATTTTTGCTTTCAGTGTAAGGAGTTGAAAACACTGTGTGGAGTACCCTAGGATGAGGACATTATGGGAGGATCAAGATTAGCCTTGTTTAAGATGTACATTAGGTCCTTGTTCTGTCCCCTGAACACAGAAAACACAAATGTGACTTGCGTCGGCATGCCTTTCTTTACCATATCATCTAGAAAGGTGAGTTGCCTTCTTCCTTTTGGGTCAAATTCATTTTCCCGAAGTCTGATGCCAACATAATCTCCCCTTAAAAGCAAGAGAGCAGCATTGAACCATTGGGAAGGAGAGGGGAGCTCAGTCCACAGAAGCGCGCTCTTTCCAGGCACCCCCCCCTCCACCAAACACAAGAGAAGTCACTGATGGCTCTGGTAGCTCAGCTAATATCCACTTTGAGTTAAAAGGCAATTCTGCAATGGTGTAGGTTTAAAATGTCCAACCACTATGAACTTACCTCACATTTATCTAAAAATGAAACTAACATAGTCAGAAACAGCATTGGTGGGAAAGCGGGGAGGGGGGGGTTGCGTGACAAATTCCCACACGCAGAAAAGGTTTTACAAAACCAAAAGGATTGAGATCCACTGTTTAAAACAAAGATTCCCTTGCTGCCCATGTTCGACCCCGGCAGAATGTGTCCACAGTTGAAAAATCCCAGCTCTGCGATATTCAGAACGGATGTATTCCCTCGCCCTAAGGCCTTTTATCCTCCATTAGAATGCCAATACCCAGAGAAGGAGTTATGCAGAAAAGCTAACCGGAAATTCCACTTTTAGCGGGACCTGTAGGATCCTTCCCTAGTAGTGATTTTAATAAGGCATCTTGGCAGGAGGAGAGAAAGTGGGCCACCCCCTGGTCGATGAGCAAGAGGGACCTGATAAAGGAAAAAGGATTCTGGCTCCCTGGGGTCTGTTTTCAAGGTCCTTACCGAGTACTATGGGCAAGTTACCATGGGGGGGGGGGGGGGGGGGGGGGGTGGGGGGTGGTAAGTTTGTGTCTGGTTTCTATCTTTTTTAATTTTTAAACATTTTTTAACGCTTTATTTATTTTTGAGGGGGAGGAGGAGGGGCAGAGATGGCGGTGGGGTGGGGGGTGACACAGAATCTGAAGCAAACTCCAGGCTCTGAGCTGACAGCTCAGAGCCCTAAGAAGGGCTCAAACTCACAAACCATGAGATCATGACCTGAGCCGAAGTCAGATGTTTAACCGACAGTACCACCCAGGTAACCCTCTTTTTTTCTGTCTGGTTTCTAAAAGCTCTTCTGAGTCACTAAAGTTAAGATTTTAAAAAATTTTCAAATTTTTGCTTTCTAATTCCAAGGTAATTTATTTAAAGTAGCCTAAATATATTCTTTGGATATAAAATTATATCAGTTTTGAAATTCCAGCTCTATATGGAGGAATTGACATTTCTGATAATAGGCTTTTTCTTTATTATGTTGGCCTCCAAACCCATGCATGTAATTATGTGTAAAGTCCTACATATTTTATTCCAGTATTTCTTAAGGACTTGTTTAAAAAAAAAAATTACCTTAGTAGGCAGAATAAGGACATTTGATGAAGACTGTGATAAGTTCTTTGATAAAAAGGATATTAGTGTTGTGCCCATAATATATATGAAATAGAACAGCCTTTTCTCCTCTTTTCATATGGTCTATGATTTTTTCACCAACCTCTCAACAAAGTACCAAATCATAGGGAAGCTACCATAGGAGAAAAAATATTTTTCCATGGGAAAACTTGGCTTTTTTTTTTAAGTTCACATTAAAAAAAAAAAAAAGGAGATAAATTATTTAGTCGGTAAGACTGACAATAACAGAGGCAGAGGCTGCGCTAATAAATGTGCCCTTGGGCACATTTTGCAGAAATCTTGCCTGTCTTTTCCCAGAAGGACCCCTTCAAAGACAGCCTCTACCTGGTAGAGGCAGCCTGGGCTGGGGGCTCAGCTGTCAGGCTCCAGAGTGGGGGTATCTGGAGGTGCAGGGCACAGTCTAGGCAGAAACATCTCCCCCAAGAGAGTCAGCATCCTGCTTTCACCACATGTGAGGCCTCTCAGGCAGGAGGCAGAGGCCAGACCATCCCAGCTTTCCCCCCACAGTGCAGGAATCCATTCTTCCCTGAGAGTTTTACCCTCTGCCAATATCCACACCATCCATGACCCGAAACCCACCAAATGCCGAGTGTAAGAAATGAAAGTTTCTTCTCAATCATACTTACAGGAGCTTTTTCATTTCCTTCTTTAGGAGCTTTCTTTCCATGATTAAGGCTTGTCCAGCTGAGCAGATATCTGTAGCTTACTGTGCACCTGACATCCTTGGGGAAGAGTCAGCTTCTTTGAGGCTACAAGCTAAGCAGCAAATCAGAGAGAATTTGAGTTAGGGATGTTATCATTCCAAATACCAGTCATGGAGTCTTAGGCTCTGGAAGGGATCCGGGAGCGTGCAGAGCTCAGGCCTCTTATCCAGCAGGCTCCAGGTTGGAATTAAACTGGCCGGGTGGGGGGGGGGGGGCGGCTAGGTAGGGGGAGGACAGTGCACTGTACCTTGAGTTTGTCTGACACCTCTTATTCTTTCCAAGTTTCCTGACATTCATCATCTATTTTTCTTTGCACTAAAGAAGCAAGTAAAACAGTCATGGCTCATGTAATAGTAGATGAGACTATTTGGACAGAAACATCCAAACATGTGGTGATCTGAACATGTAAATTCTGTGTGCATTCCACGTAGTGACTCCCAGTGAATCCACCTTGGTACAGTGGCTCATAATGGATTTTCTATGGAACCTGTGCACAATTTCCTATGTCCAGAAGGTCCTGGAAAGAATACATTATCATGGCAAATGTGAGGCCATGTCTTCAGTTCTTATCCCCACATTGAACCAGAAACTGGAGGTTAGGGGATGGCATCAAAAGGAGTTTGAAGTCACAAAAAGGAGTTTATAAAAAAAATAATCACTTTTAAATGGTACATCTAAGGAGAGGTATAAGTAGAATATCAACTATGTTTGCAATGTTTTGTTTCTTAAACAAGAGGGAAAGCGAATTGTGATGGTTACTTTTACGTGTCAACTTGGCTGGGCCACTGTGCCCAAATATTTGGTCAAAAATTCTGCTGGGTGTTTCCGTGAAGGTATTTTTTGGATGAGACTGACACTTAATGATCTTTGAGTTGAGCAGATTACCCTCCATTATGTGCACGGACCTCATCCAATCATTTGAAGGCTTGGAGAGAAGAAAGATTAATTCTTCCCAAGCAAGAAGGAATTCTGCCAGAACTCCTTCAGGTTCTGGGCTGGCTAAACCACCACAATCACATGAGCCAATTCTTTAAACTAAATTTCTCTCTGTACATGCATATACATATATACATATATGCTCTATTTCTCTGGAGAACCCTGAGAACAAAAATTTTTAAATGTTAACATTTGTTGACTCTGGGAAGATAAACCTATAAATGTTCATTATATCACCTTCTGTACTTTTGAAACTGTGCTTGTGTTTTTAAATTGCTACTATAAATATGGTTGGAATAAAACTTTAGAAACTTTTGGGAAAAAAATTGTAGTCTGTAGACTACATTAAACATTAAGATTTATTCAATTCAGCTCTCTAACAATAAGCAGAGAGAAAACAGGATGTCCTTAATTTACATGAATTCTTTTTTTTAAGTTTTTAAATGTTTTTATTAATTTCGGAGAGAGAGAGATAGTGTGAGAAGGGGAGGGTCAGAGAGAGAGGGAGATACAGAATCTGAAGCAGGCTCCAGGCTCTGAGCTAGCTGTCAGCACAGAGCTCGATGTGGGGCTCGAACCCATGAACCGTGAGATCATGACCTGAGCCAAAGTCGGACTCTTAACCAACTAAGCCACCCAAGCGCCCCTAATTTACATGAACTCTTCACCAGACCAATTTAATTATTTTGGGCCATTCTTGCTGCCACTACATTTGCTTCAGTTTTGAATGGGAAGTGGAAAAGATGAAAGGGGGTGGGCAAAGTAAGGAGAAAATACTACAAGCCAGAGAGGGGACCTCATAACGTAGAGAAGGAAAAGCTCTGGACCGAGGAAGGCCAGATGTCTAGATGTGGTGCCCACTCTCCCACCCGCCACCGACTGATTGATGTGGCTGTGGCCATCCTTCTTGGGTCTTCTGCATTCCAGTCTCAGGTGTAGTCTAAAAAATGATGAGCCTGGTTAATGTCACCAAGAGCATTTTTTCACTCTACCACTCTAAACTTCATAAAGGCTAGCACAGATTATGATTCTTCTAATTCACTAAGTTGCAAAAGCATTTGTCGGTAGACCATTTGTCTTCTTTCAATTCCTTCACAAGGGGGTGGATGGGCTCCCTTAGCCTTCATGCCTTTTTAAAAAGCAAAAAACAGCATTTGCTTTAACCTTTTCTTGTTTGTAATTCTGAGCCAGCCCTTTGAATTTCAGACTTAAATTATAAAATATTTATCTCTTCGCTACTGTGATAGCTTCACCTTAGACCACCCTCCCCAACCACCATTCAATGTGGCATAATATACAAAGGTTTAGATCTTAAAAATATGACCAAGTCTCACCCCCCAGGAGGTCCAAAGACCAGTAAGGCTATCAGATAGCTGTGTCACCTTGGACCAGTGAATTTGTCTCTCTGTGTTCTTGTGTGTCCTCTTCTGTAAAACAGTCATTGAATGATTGGAGAGGTCCCTTCTAGCTTAGAGTTCAGTGACTTCACGCATTGTGTAGCTCTGTGTGGCTGAAAGGGGGCCATTTGCATAGACTATTTGGTTAAAATTTGAATTCATCCACTCTTCTGTCTGTAGAGCTTTAACAAAAAAACAAGACCCTGGCTGGAAATACACACAAAGGAGCTAATGGAAAGATGTTAGCTGTCTCAGGCATTAGCTGCTTCATAGAAACCAACCCCCCACCAGAAGTCACAGCCCACATACTCTGTAAGAATATCATGCCCTGAATATCTGTATACTCCATGCAGATCCTCTCCCTGCACAACTATATCTATGATACAGCCCTCTCAGATTGTTCTCTTACATGCCCAGCCCTTAATAAATCCCCCTTTCAGAATCTCTCACCAACCAGAGACCGATTCTGGTGCTTTTGTTCTCTCCCTGCTTCTGGAGGCGTGCTGGAGCATTGAACATCATCATCTTGGGCTGGTGCTCGCAGACATCAGGAAAACACGCCTTTTTTTTTTTTGGTTGCTAGGAAACAATGACTGAATGAAAGTAATTTGTTTTTACCCATCCCTCCCTCCCCCCAACCCCTGCCATCCTGCAGGGAAAAGAATTTAGACAGGATTGTGATCCTGACCTGGAGTTCATGTATCTTTTTACCTGCATAGGCTTCGGTTTCCCACCTAAATGATTAATCAGAAAGCCTAGAGGATGCCAGAAGTCCCCCTCCCCCAGGGTTTTTTATAGCACTTGGCTGCAGACTCAGGAATCAACTGACTAAGCAGGGATTTCTGGGGAACGTCTGGCTCCTCATACACATAGGGTGCCCTGAAGCATTCCGGGTGATTCCACATGATGACTCTGAGATGGGAGTCCTGAAAAACCATCACTTTGGTGCAAGGCATCACCATTTCCCCCTGCTAAGGGGTCTCCCTGCTCACACACTTGTCTCTTCATTCTAAGCACTTCCTCCCCTGCTTCAAGCTTGCTCATGGTTTCCCACCACTCTTAGAGGAAAACCAAAACTCGCCCTGGCCTGTGTTCGAGTCTCCTCCGAGGCCTTGGGCAGAGCAGACTTTGTTCTGGTCCATTGATGCCTGGGTGTCTGTTATTAGGATCGTTTCCACTCCTCTCCACCGACCAAGTCTCTTGGTTGCTTGCTGACTCAGGTGTTCTATTAGGGACAGTAAGAACTCTAGATCTGGACTTCTGGAGAATAGTCATTCACTCCACAATGAAATTATGCTATACCCAGACCCTTCCAGGCTTTGTGAGCCTAAAGTTTACACAACTTGAATTTTATACAATTTAAGAAAAAATTTGCAAAATTGTGAATACAAAATCAAGTGATTTTTAGAACTATTCATCGCAAGTTTCACCTTTCTTTCTTCCTTCCTTCCTTCCTTCCTTCCTTCCTTCCTTCCTTCCTTCCTTTCTTTCTTTCTTTCTTTCTTTCTTTCTTTCTTTCTTTCTTTCTTTCTTTCTTCCTTTCTTTCGAGAGAAAATCTTAAGCAGGCTCTATGCTCAATACAGAGCCCCAGACAGTGCTTGATCCCACGACCCCAGGATCATGAATGAAATCTAGAGTTGGATGCTCAACCCTCTGAGCCACTCCAAGTACCCCAAGTTTCATATTTCAAAGGGCTGACAAATATACCACACATGAGAAACATAGAAAAAAATCCCACAGTATTAATATTATCTTTATTATTAACTGACATACCCTAAAATTATTTTTTTCTTACATACACTCTCTTTGATTACCTCTTAATATGACCAAGATTTTGTAATATTATTTTCTATTGAGAGATTAGAAAGACAGTTCAGTCTTGCCTCTAGTGTGGGTATTCATAATTATTTTTAATTATAAATAAAATATTAGAATAAACTAGAAGTTATTTTTTAGCTTATTGACTCCTGTTGGTGATGCCTACTCTACAACGTTTGCCACAGTTTTCTGCTCCCGAGATTCTCCTTGCCATAAGGCAACACCTGGAGACTTTTAGCCTTGACCTTGCTAGGTCTGTTCACCCCTGCCTCCCTTCCCCTCTCCCTACCACCCCAGCTGAAGCTGCCACAGCTGGTCCAACAAAGCCAAGAGCTAGCAACTGCTGTGCTCTCCTCCCCGGCTTCAGTCCTGGAAGACCCCAATAGGGTCTCGGTGCTCAGTGGACCAACAGGGATTGCTTGTCCAAGACTCAGCATTGGTGGAGGTGATGGCAGCAATGTACCTGCCCTGCCCCAATGCCACGGCAGCTGCCAGGAGAGCAGGGAGGGTGGTGCCTAGGCTGAGGCCATGTTGTCTCTTCTTGCCGCCGCCATGGGGAACTCGTACAGCCTTTGAAGAACCCAAGAAAGCAAGGAGCCCTCTACCTTGGCTGCTTTAGCTTTTGGAGAAAACCCACCTCTTCTTATACTTCTTATTCCCAAGACATTACAATCAAGACAAAACACAACAGCCAAAAGCACTGTTATACCATAGAATAAAAGAAACTGGTATTTTATGCCATAGAATAAAAAAATACCATAGAACTGAAAGAAGTTCTCACAGCACATCTCTAAGGCAGATATAAACATAACATCCATGCTTTATATGTAAGGAAACTAAGAGATAGAACAGGCAGTAATTTGCCAGAGAAAAATAGCCACTTGGGGTCTGACTCCCCAAGGCAATGCATCTTCACCAGACTTTTTGATGTATTCTTTGAACTTTGAACTTTGAACATTATGTTTTATATCTTTGTGTTCCCCAAAAGAGAGGCATAATGATGCTTTGCGCATATCACACATTCACTACGTATTATCTGGCAGGGGGAAATTTTTTATGTCCTGAATATAATGTAAACTCAGAACACATTTTTAGCAAATAAAATCTCTGCTCTCTCATTTGTAGGCATGCTCTTGCCTTTAGTGGTTAAACAACTGGGGAAGGGGGTGGTCAGCAGGGGTTGACCAGATGGTAGTGTTTTTAGCATTTGCATTTGGTAAGGAGAAGAACCTGAATGCACACGTAAATAGCCTACGGCCAGCCAGGATATGTGAGCATAAAGGTTTTACATGGGGAAAAAAAAAAAAAAAAAAAGAGAGCTGAGGTTTAGTAACCTCTGTGAACACAAGAGACCAGACATTAGAGGGTAACAAGGCTATGACTCTATTCACCCTAGGATTTAGACATGTCTGAGCAGATCTGGGCAAGTCAGGAGGACCATGGGATGCAGACTCGAACATCAAGATTCTATTTGCATCAGTGGTTCTCAACATTGACCATACTTTAGAATCACTTGAGGAGCTTTTAAAACTCCCCGGATCAATTAACTCAGAATCTCTGTGGTTAAGACTCAGGCATCCATGTTCTTCAGATTTCTCCAGGGCCTGTAATATTCAGATGAGGCTGAGAATTACTGACCCATGAAAAGACTGAGGTAATGCTCCTTTATTGCTGTTACACCAACCTTTAGTTTGAGAGAAAGTTATCTTCACCTGTCAGAAAAGGCTTGAGGAAGAGACGGACCACTTTCCCCCATTGGAATAAGGGTCAAATCTAGTGTTACACTAGATACGATGCCCAACACTATGACAGTCAGCTTATGACCTGTCTGAAGATGAAGCTACTACATGGATGAAGGCAGAGCCAAAGAGCTTCCAATGATGTGTTTTTATGTCTTAAAGGTCTTATTTTTAAAGCCAGTTTTAGTTGGAGATTAAGAGTAATTTTAGCAAAAGGCATCCTAAGTGATATACTTTCCTAAATCTAGCCCCCAAATTTCATGCCAGGGTCCTCAATAGAAGGGATTGCAATGGAAGAGTGAATAAAAGTAAAAAGCATATTTTCTTCGTGATCACCATGGGACACAGGGAGCACAGCTTGGCGACAGCCATGATACCACAGCTTCTGCCATGATGGGACGCAACACACCAGACATGACAGCAAAACCTGAGGCAGCCTTGATTTCAGACGTTGGCATCTTGGCCATTAGGCATCAGTAGCTTTGATGTAGATGTTTGTAGGAAAGGAAAACCTTTTCCTCTATCCCTTAGGTTCCGTACCTCAGGCTTTCAATTTAAATTGACAAAAAACAGATTAATAAGTGAAAAAGCATAGCACTTTTTATTGACGTTAATATTTCTATGCGCATAGGGGCTTTGCAGAAAAGTGAAAATCCAAAGCAATTAGGCACAAAGGACGATACATTGTGAAGGGACAAGACAAAGGAAAGCAGGCTTAGGCTTCCAGGGATAGCAAATTGTGGGGAAGTGAGTAGGAAATGTTGGGGGGTGGAATAATGGTGGATAATAATTATTTAGTAAGGTTTGTGTATGCAGATAAATCTTGATGTCATCTGTCTTTTGGGCAATTCCTCTTCCTGGTATGTACAGTAGAGAAGGACACTTTCATAGAGGAAATTTATGCCCGGCTTTTAGGTGGATGGAGGTCAGTGAAATCTTCCTGTGTCTGATTTATCTTAAGTGACTTCAAATGAAAATAATCCCTATGCCAAAGTGGCACATTTTGGGGTGTCATATTCTGATCCCTTTCACCTTGATATCTCCTTTGGTGGACGCAGCTGTCATCTTTCCTTGGGGCAGAGCCATCATTTTATTTTATTTTTATCAAAACATTTTTAAAAATGTTTATTTATTTTTGAGACAGAGAGACAGAGCGTGAGCAGGGGAGGGGCAGAGAGAGATACTCACACAGAATCTGAACCAGACTCCAGGCTTTGAGCTGTCAGCACACTCTCGGACCATGAAATCATGACCTGAGTCGAAGTTGGACGCTTAACCAACCACCCAGGCACCCCAGAGCCACCATTTTAGGCTTAGCAGCAAGACATGTTATACAGGACATTTGGCCACATGTAACAGAAACACAACCTCTACCTATCAACTTTAAACATGTATCTTCTTTCTAGATCAACATGGATCCATACCTTTTTCTTCCTATCATTAGCTTGTGAACATCGTATTTATATTACAGTATAATTCAAATGTTTTTAGTATTAAATTACAACATTTAAAATATACTACCATTTTTATAAACCTCTTTTGAAATTTTTCTTATGTTACAAGCCTCTAAACGTGGAAATGCTGTTCTACTCTGTGACTGGCTTCATGAAGGATACACAGCCCAATAGGCCAAGGACCCTGCCTTTATGAAACAAACAGTAAAGAAGTATAGGTTATATTGTCACCTTAATTTTTTCTAAGCCAGGTTTTGGAAGCATGGTAAGGAGTGGGCTGATCCAGAGGTCAAAGTTCTCAACAAACCTAAGGAGATGAATAATCCTGAAATACTGCCTTTGAAATAGTATTTCTTGTTTTTATGTTTATTTATTTATTTTGAAAGAGTGTGTGTGTACACAAGCTAAGCTAAGTGCAGACAGAGAGAGAGAGAGAGAGAGAGGGAATCCCAAGCAGGCTC